TCGATATTAATATGACGAAATAATGTAACAATATATTATTCTTCGGTGCTTATTCCGTTAAGTGTTAAATCCGAAATTCAAGAATTACTGGTTTTCATTGGCGGCACTCAAATAATCACAAAAACAATATAAAATAAAATTAGTTAATCTTACTCCGTCAAAACCTTGAGTATTAACAATTCTAACTAAATCATTAACGAATTTCGAATTTTGACGACTAGACGGATCGTATATCCAATTATTAGGATTCATATTAAAGAAACCAGCTAAATTATTCCAATCAGTCGGTAGCAGGACTGATAGAATTATCTATAACGTGCAATTTATCATTACTATTAATGTTATTGAGTCTTTTTAATGTATATTTGATATTTATTACTTACCTTAAATGTTAGATTCTTTCTTCTCTTATATTCTTTCAATTGACTAATCTTGGAAGATTGTCTGTTAAAAAATACTAATGGGTCACCACCAGGAGTATTATTTCTGCCATTATCAACAAGATCATTTGGGCTAAATGCTATATAAATAATTATTAAGCTTAATTGTAATTAAATAGCATTAAAGCTTTAATTTCGCATACCAATATAGTTTAAGTAATCAATTGATGAGCTGATATCAAAATCTACACCTGGTGTTAGATTAAGTTTATAAGCTGGATAATATCCGACAAGTATTTTTGGACTAGTTGGAGATAGGTGACATGAATCCTGACTTAACACCTTTTTTATCGACACAAATATAAAAAAGGTATATAAAAAAAGTAACATGAACTTATAGAAGGATGAAAATGATCGAATTTTCATGTTTATTATAATGGCATAAAAATTTTTAACAGAGTTAACATGAATATATGGGAGAATGATTTAACTATTAGATGTTTTTCTCAAGAAAAAAAAAACCTCTAAAAAAAAGCACAAATGATCATATATTGTCCCATATAAATATTTATTTCTTGCCCTTTGAACGAAGTTTCCATTATGCAATATCAATAGGAATGAGGTCCGAATTTTACAATTAGTACGACCTTTATCCTGAATCAGCGTTACAATGAGAGATGCTGGTGAAATTAATTTCACCAAATTTCAATTCAACAATTTCACCAATGGTGGTGAAATTATCTTTAGAGTGAGACGGTTTATTTATTTTGTGCCAGTGATACAAACCCGAAAAGGAAACTTGGTATAAAACACAACATACGTACAGTATCCCCAAAAGTTTATCACGGTTACACGAAAAAACTCAAATGCAAATTGTGAAAATATCTGGGAGATAATGTTCAGCAACGAAGACCACAACCAAGAACATATGGAGTGTTGAAAACTGCACTTTTAGAGGAATGGAATATCAATTTTCGTGAACTTAATAAATAATATATTGCCAAAGTTATTACTAATGAAGGTTATGGTAGA